AAACAAAATCGTTGCGTTGATTTATTTATATACACACATATATACAGTATATAGAACGCTGCTACATCATCGGGGTCGTGACTATCAACGTAGACCTCTCGTCTCTTGCGTTGTCTTCGTGTGTGTTGTGTGCGTCTTGTTGTGTGTTCACGCGTGCGTGTGCGTGTGTGTGTGTCCTTGTAGTTGCAGGTGCTCGCTGCTAACAGCGCTTGCCCCGGAAACAGTCTGTTAAGGCTATACGGGGGATCTTTGTCTTTGTGTGTGTGTCACGTGGTGCACTCAGCGGTCATCTCAGTGAGTGAACTCACGTTACCTGGGCGTGTTCTGTGACCTCCTGCCAGCGGGCCTTCGATACCTCTCGTGAAAGCCTCAAAGTTCACCCAGCATGGCAAATGAGTACCTAGTGCCGAGTGTAACCATCCCTACTGGGGAGACAAAGGCGGTCGGGCGTGGTGCTGGTCACCCTCGTGTACCGTTCCGGCCTTCGTAGGCGCTGCTACTCGCTAGCAGCACTCGGCCTCGGCAATCTGTTGGTGAAGGCGCTGCACGTTGCAGCTAAAGGCGCAGCACTGCAATTGCCGGAGGAAGGGTCCCCACTTAGAGGGAGCTCTCTCTCTGGAGAGAGTGGACCACCACTACCACGTGACTTTTCTTTCGTGTTGTGCGCGGTGCGTTTAGCGCCACAGCGCGTGGATTTTGTGTTGCTGGTGACTTTGTGTATTTCATATCGGAATCGCTTCCAGTGCTGTTGGCTGCTGGCGGAAATGAAAGTTGTTTAAAAGGCAAGTCTAGTGAGAGTGGAGAGAGTGAGAGAAAGAGAGGGGAGAGAGAGGAGAGAGAGATAATGAGATAGGAGAGAGAGTGGAGAGAGCGGGAGAGCGTTTTGAGTTTTGAAACACTTTCATTGCTGCCAGCAGCGAAAGCACTGGAGCCGATTTCCATACAAAGTCACGTGGAGTACAGCGTCACGCGTGCACGTCACAGACACTACCCACGTGACGCGTGGCGCTGCACGTGCCACGCGCAACACGAACACCGCGTCGTTACGCTGTGCCACGAGCGACGAATCACCTCGTTACAGACGACGAATAACCTCGTTACAGACGACGAATAACCTCGTTACAGACGACGAATCACCTCGTTACAGACGACGAATAACCTCGTTACAGACGACGAATCACCTCGTTACAGACGACGAATAACCTCGTTACAGACGACGAATCACCTCGTTACAGACGACGAATAACCTCGTTACAGACGACGAATAACCTCGTTACAGACGACGAATAACCTCGTTACAGACGACGAATCACCTCGTTACAGACGAAGAATAACCTCGTTACAGATGACGAATCAGCTCGTTACAAAGTAAAGTTCAGAAATCCGTTAGCGCTGGTGCAGAGGGCTTGACCGGCCCCCACCACCGTCCACGAAACACGCGAATTGGAGCGCTCCACGTGCTCCACGTGCTCCACGTGCTCCACGTGCTCCACGTGCTCCAGCTCGAGCACGTGGAGCGCCCCACGTGCTCCACGTGGAAAGCTCCACGTGCTCCAGCTGGAGTGCTCCAAGTGCTCCAGCTGGAGTGCTCCACGTGCTCCAGCTGGAGTGCTCCACGTGCTCCAGCTGGAGCGCTCCACGTGCTCCAGCTGGAGTGCTCCACGTGCCCCACGTGCTCCAGCTGGAGTGCTCCACGTGCTCCACGTGCCCCACGTGCCCCAGCTGGAGCGCTCCACGTGCTCCACGTGCTCCAGCTGGAGCCGCGCCTAGAGGAGGCCCCTCGGCATCGGCACCACCGCAGAGCAGCCGCCAGTGTCGCCTTGCGGCATCTTTCTCCTGCCCCTGTGAACTGCCTTGGCCACAGACGAAGTCTGCAAGTCCGTGGCGCTTCTCAGCCTGGGTGAGGCGCCCCCTCTCCCACACGGGAAACTGATTTTATAAAAGAAGAAGCCGCCTCCAGTCTCCTGAGCATGGACCCCACCAAAGCCGGAACGTTGGGGTCGAGCCGCGGACACCCCGAGGAGCGGTGGGGACAGATCCTCCGGAGACCCCCCGGGGAATGGGGAGATTCGGCTGAGCCACACGGCCGAAAGCAGCGTCATCATCATCATATGGTGATGATAATGATGATGCCCCACTTTCGTTGAGCTATCATTTGCGATAGCCAGGTCAGGGCTTCTGAAACCGAGCTACACAGCCCAGTGGCGGGGCCTTACCTAGTAAGATAAAAAAAAAACTACATATAAATGTTTAATGGTAAAAAGTAGTTTCACCTGTCACGCCATCGAGTCGAATCGGCGAACTTGTGGCTCGTGATTCCAAGCAGCGCTACGAACCGCTACACCGCCAATGTGGCGAATTCCCCAGCGTCTCCCCGAGCATGAACACTCTACAGGGAATTCCTCTACTTACGACCGTTCGACTTACGATCTTTCATAGACACGAACAAATCCGGTTCGTACGTCCAGTTGGCTGTTCGGACCGAGCGTCGTGAGTTCAACCACCGCGCAATAGATGGCGGTGGTGGCATCTACATCTGCAGAAGGTGAAGAACCATTGGCATCTACATCTGTAGAACGTGAAGAACCAGTGGCATCTACATCTGCAGATCATTAATAACCAGTGGCATCTACATCTGCAGAACGTGAAAAACCAGTGGCATCTACATCTGTAGAACGTTAATAACCAGTGGCATCTACATCTGCAGAACGTGAAGAACCAGTGGCATCTACATCTGCAGAACGTGAATAACCAGTGACATCTACATTTGCAGAACGTTAAGAACCAGTGGCATCTACATCTATAGAACGTGAAGAACCAATGGCATCTACATCTGCAGAACGTTAAGAACCAGTGGCATCTACATCTACAGAACGTGAAGAACCAATAGCATCTACATCTGTAGAACGTGAAGAACCAGTGGCATCTACATCGACAAAACGTGTAGAACCAGTGGCATCTACATCTGCAAAACGTGAAGAACCAGTGGCATCTACATGTACAGAACGTGAAGAACCAATGGTATCTACATCTGCAGAACGTTAAGAACCAGTGGCATCTACATCTACAGAACGTGAAGAACCAGTGGCATCTACATCTTTAGAACGTGAAGAACCAGTGACATTTCCATCTGCAGAACGTGAAAAACCAGTGGCATCTACATCGGCAGAACGTGAAGAACCAGTGGCATCTACATCTGCAGAACGTGAAGAACCAGTGGCATCTACATCTGGAGAACGTGAATAACCAGTGGCATCTACATCTGCAGAAATCGAAGAACCAGTAGCATCTTCATCTGCAGAACGTGAAGAACCAGTGGCATCTACATCGACAGAACGTGAAGAACCAGTGGCATCTACATCTGCAGAACGTGAAGAGCCAGTGGCATCTACATCTGTAGAACGTGAATAACCAGTGGCATCTACATCTGCAGAAATCGAAGAATCAGTAGCATCTTCATCTGCAGAACGTGAAGAACCCGTGGCATCTACATTTGCAGAACGTGAAGAACCAGTAGCATCTTCATCTACAGAACGTTAAGAACCAGTGGCATCTACATCTACAGAACGTGAAGAACCAGTGGAATCTACATTCCACAGAACGTGAAGAACCAGTGGCATCTACATCTGCAGAACGTGAAAAACCAGTGGCATCTACATCTGTAGAACGTTAATAACCAGTGGCATCTACATCTGCAGAAATCGAAGAACCAGTAGCATCTTCATCTGCAGAACGTGAAGAACCAGTGGCATCTACATCTGCAGAACGTGAAGAACCAGTGGCATCTACATCTGCAGAACGTGAAGAACCAGTGGCATCTACATCGACAGAACGTGAAGAACCAATGGCATTTACATCTGCAGAACGTGAAAAACCAGTGGCATCTACATCTGTAGAACGTTAATAACCAGTGGCTTTCTACATCTGCAGAAATCGAAGAACCAGTAGCACCTTCATCTGCAGAACGTTAATAACCAGTGTCATCTTCATCTGCAGAACGTGAAGAACCAATAGCATCTACATCTGCAGAACGTGAAGAACCAGTGGCATCTACATGCACAGAACGTGAAGAACCAATGGTATCTACATTTGCAGAACGTTAAGAACCAGCGGCATCTACATGTACAGAACGTGAAGAACCAATGGCATCTACATCTAAAGAACGTGAAGAACCAGTGGCATCTTCATCTGCAGAACGTGAAGAACCAGTGGCATCTACATGTACAGAACGTGAAGAACCAGTGGCATCTTCATCTGCAGAACGTGAAGAACCAGTGGCATCTACATCTGTAGAACGTGAAGAACCAGTGGCATCTACATCTGCAGAAATCGAAGAACCAGTAGGATCTTCATCTGCAGAACGTGAAGAACCAGTGGCATCTTCATCTGCAGAACGTGAAGAACCAGTGGCATCTACATCTGCAGAACGTGAAAAACCAGTGGCATCTACATCTGCAGAACGTGAAGAACCAGTGGCATCTACATCTGCAGAACGTGAAGAACCAGTGGCATCTACATCTGCAGAACGTGAAGAACCAGTGGCATCTACATCTGCAGAAATCGTAGAACCAGTGGCATCTACATCTGTAGAACGTGAAGAACCAGTAGCATCTTCATCTGCAGAACGTGAAGAACCAGTGGCATCTACATCTACAGAACGTGTAGAACCAGTGGCATCTACATCTGCAGAACGTGAAGAACCAGTGGCATCTACATCTGTAGAACGTGTAGAACCAGTAGCATCTACATCTACAGAACGTGAAGAACCAGTGGCATCTACATCTACATAACGTGTAGAACCAGTGGCATCTACATCTACAGAACGTGTAGAACCAGTGGCATCTACATCTACAGAACGTGTAGAACCAGTGGCATCTACATCTGCAGAACGTGAAGAACCAGTGGCATCTACATCTGTAGAACGTGTAGAACCAGTGGCATCTACATCTACAGAACGTGAAGAACCAGTGGCATTTACATCTACAGAACGTGTAGAACCAGTGGCATCTACATCTACAGAACGTGAAGAACCAGTGGCATCTACATCTACAGAACGTGTAGAACCAGTGGCATCTTCATCTGTTTAGTGTACAACACGTTTGTAATCGACAGGAGTAAAGTTGGGGCTGATGAACAAATCGACTAATGAACAGACCTCTGGAACGCACCTCGTTATTAAGTAGAGGAGTCCCCTGTTTCAGTCATACATCTCCCGTAATCAAACATCGTAAATATTGTGTTTGCTGTGTTTTGTATTTGACAGATGATGGAGTTGATGATGCTGGTGATTGTGATGATGATGAAGAAGGCTCGTCCACAGTGATGGAGAGGACACTCAAGATGAGTGGTCCACACACGGCCTGGTGGATCGTCTTGACTTGTGTCTCGTGGAGACATGCGGCAGGTTGGTCATCAACGTCACACCGCATCAACGTCACACCGCATCAACGTCACACCGCATCAACGTCACACCGCATCAACGTCACAACGCAACAACGTCACACCGCAACAACGTCACACCGCAACAACGTCACACCGCATCAACGTCACACCGCATCACCGTCACACCGCATCAACGTCACACCGCATCAACGTCACACCGCGTCACCGTCACACCGCATCAACGTCACACCGAATCAACATCACACCGCGTCACCGTCACACCGCCTCAACGTCACACCGCATCAACGTCACACCGCATCAACGTCACACCGCGTCACTGTCACACCGCATCAACGTCACACCGCAACAACGTCACACCGCATCAACGTCACACCGCATCAATGTCACATCGCAACAACGTCACACCGCATCAACGTCACACCGCATCAACGTCACACCGCATCAACGTCACAACGCAACAACGTCACACCGCATCAACGTCACACCGCAACAACGTCACACCGCATCAACGTCACACCGCATCACCGTCACACCGCAACAACGTCACACCACGTCAACGTCACACTGTATCACCGTCACAACGCATCAACGTCACACCGCATCAACGTCACGCCGCGTCACCGTCACACTGCATCAACGTCACACCGCATCAACGTCACACCACATCACCGTCACACCGCATCAACGTCACACTGCAACAACGTCACACCGCAACGTCACAACGCAACAACGTCACACCGCATCAACGTCACACCCCAACAACGTCACACCGTATCAACGTCACACCGCATCAACGTCACACCGCATGAACGTCACACCGCATCAATGTCACACCGCAACAACGTCACAACGCAACAACGTCACACCGCGTCACCGTCACACCGTAACAACGTCACACCCAAACAACGTCACACCGCATCAACGTCACACCGCATCTCCGTCACACCGCATCAACGTCACACCGCAACAACGTCACACCGCAACGTCACACCGCGTCACCGTAATAACGTCACACCGATTCTGCTGACGCTGCCACTGCTGCCGCTGCTGCGTTGGCAGCGGTGCACAAGCAGAAGCGGATTATTTATTTATTTCTGGAGGAATCCGATGTGCTGTGAAGCTCTTTTTTTGCTGCAGCAGCATCAGCAGCATCAGCAGCAGCAGCAGCATCAGCAGCAGCAGCATCAGCAGCAGCATCAGCAGCAGCATCATCAGCAGCAGCATCAGCAGCAGCATCATCAGCAGCAGCATCAGCAGCATCAGCAGCATCAGCAGCAGCATCAGCAGCATCATCAGCATCAGCAGCAGCAGCGTTGTTCTTGTTTGAGGCTGAGTCGACCTACGTTAGTCTATGGGCAGTGTTAGTCTATGGGCAGTGTTGAGTCTATGGGCAGTGTTGAGTCTATGGGCAGTGTTGAGTCTATGGGCAGTGTTGAGTCTATGGGCAGTGTTGAGTCTATGGGCAGTGTTGAGTCTATGGTCAGTGTTAGCCTATGGGCAGTGTTTGTGTGTGAATGTTGAACTTCACCGCACATCGCCAGACTGCGCTAATGGGCACGCGAGCTCTCAGCTTTGGCGACGAGCTTCCTGGGGAGGCCTCGTTCATTGTCGGCGGGGGGAGGGGGGCAGCGGGTGTTGGTTGAATGGGGGGCCCGCAGTGGGGAACCGGGGGGTTAGGGGGGGAGCCGCGGGGGAGCCGGGGTGGCGGGGGGGGCTGTGGGGGGGGGAGGGGTTAATGAACAACGCGAGAACCGGGCGGATGCAGCGCGCTCAGCCGTTATCACGCTTCCAACCCACAATCATATTTACAATCCCACGTGGATAGGAATTAATTTTAATTAGGTTGTTTTTTTGTTTGGTACTCTCTCGATGTATCTCTCTCTGCATGAATGTCAGTGGGATGCCGCGATGGTGAGAGAGGTGTTACATATCTCGCTCTCTCCATCTTCCTCGCCATATCTCCCTCGCCTGCAAGCAGGAGGTCGTAGGTTCCGATCCAGGACCCTGGCGATGCCTGTTGTGTATTCGGTGTTCGCATGTTCTCCCCGTAGTCCATGCGTCTCTATGTATCTTCATGGGTTTCTGTGTATCTCTATGGGTCTCTATGTATCTACATGGGTCTCTGTGTATCTCTATGGGTCTCTATGTATCTACATGGGTCTCTGTGTATCTACATGGGTCTCTATGTATCTACATGGGTCTCTGTGTATCTCTATGGGTCTCTGTGTATCTATGGGTCTCTGTGTATCTACATTGGTCTCTATGTATCTACATGGGTATCTATGTATCTACATGGGTCTCTGTGTATCTCTATGGGTCTCTGTGTATCTACATTGGTCTCTGTGTCTTATGTCTCTCCTTGGGTCTCTATGTATCTCTTTGGGTCACTATGTATCTATGGGTCTCTGTGTATCTATGGGTCTCTGTGTATCTCTATGGATCTCTGTGTATCTCGATGGGTCTCTATCTCTAGGAGTCTCTATGTATATATGGGTATCTGTGTATGTACATTGCTCTCTGTGTCTCTATGTCTCTCCTTGGGTCTCTGTGTATCTCTATGGGTCTCTGTGTATCTCTATGGGTATCTGTGTATCTCTATGGATCTCTGTGTATCTACATGGGTCTCTGTGTATCTCTATGGGTCTCTGTGTATCTCGATGGGTCTCTATCTCTAGGAGTCTCTATGTATATATGGGTATCTGTGTATGTACATTGCTCTCTGTGTCTCTATGTCTCTCCTTGGGTCTCTGTGTATCTCTATGGGGCTCTGTGTATCTCTATGGGTCTCTGTGTATCTCTATGGGTCTCTGTATATCTCGATGGGTCTCTTTGTATCTCGTTGCGTCTGTGTATTCTGATGGGTCTCCATGCATCTATATGGGTTTCTGCGTATCTCTCGGGGTCTCTGTGTCTCTATGTGTATCTGTGTATCTCAATGAGTCTCTATGTGTCTCCATTAGTCTCTGTGTAAGTCTAGGGGTCTCTGTGTCACTATGTGTCTCTGTGTATCTCGATGAATCTCTATGTGTCTCCATGAGTCTCTGTGTAAGTCTAGTGGTCTCTGTGTCTCTATGAGTCTCTGTGTATCTCGATGTGTCTCTATATGTCTCCATGAGTCTCTGTGTATCTCTAGGGGCCTCTGTGTCTCTATGAGTCTCTGTGTATCTCGATGTGTCTCTATATGTCTCCATGAGTCTCTGTGTATCTCTAGGGGCCTCTGTGTCTCTATGTGTCTCCATGAGTCTCTGTGTATCTCTAGGGGTCTCTGTGTCTCTATGTGTCTCTCTGTATCTCGATGAGTCTCTATGTGTCTCCATGAGTCTCTGTGTATCTCTAGAGGTCTCTGTGTCTCTATGTGTCTCTGTGTATCTCGATGAGTCTCTATGTGTCTCCATGAGTCTCTGTGTATCTCTAGGGGTCGCTGTGTCTCTATGAGTCTCTATGTATCTCGATGAGTCTCTATATGTCTCCATGAGTCTCTGTGTATCTCTAGGGTCTCTGTGTCTCTATGTGTCTCTGTGTATCTCGATGTGTCTCTATGTGTCTCCATGAGTCTCTGTGTATCTCTAGGGGTCTCTGTGTCTCTATGAGTCTCTGTGTATCTCGATGTGTTTCTATGTGTCTCCATGAGTCTCTGTGTATCTCTAGGGGTCTCTGTGTCTCTATGAGTCTCTATGTATTTCGATGAGTCTCTATATGTCTCCATGGGTCTCTGTATATCTCTAGGTGTCTCTGTGTCTCTATGCATCTCGATGAGTCTCTATGTGTCTCCATTGGTGTCTGTGTATCTCTAGGGGTCTCTGTGTCTCTATGAGTCTCTATGTATCTCGATGAGTCTCTATATGTCTCCATGAGTCTCTGTGTATCTCTAGGGGTCTCTGTGTCTCTATGAGTCTCTGTGTATCTCGATGAGTCTCTATTTGTCTCCATGAGTCTCTGTGTATCTCTAGGGGTTTCTGTGTCTCTATGAGTCTCCATGCATCTCGATGAGTCTCTATATGTCTCCATGGGTCTCTGTGTATCTCTAGGGGTCTCTGTGTCTCTATGAGTCTTTGTGTATCTCGATGAGTCTCTATGTGTCTCCATGAGTCCCTGTGTATCTCTAGGGGTCTCTGTGTCTCTATGAGTCTCTATGTATCTCGATGAGTCTCTATGTGTCTCCATGAGTCTCTGTGTATCTCTAGGGGTCTCTGTGTCTCTATGAGTCTCTATGTATCTCAATGAGTTTCTATGTGTCTCCAATGGGTCTCTGTGTATCTCTAGGGGTCTCTGTGTCTCTATGAGTCTCTATATATCTCGATGAGTCTCTGTGTGTCTCCATGAGTCTCTGTGTATCTCTAGGGGTCTCTGTGTCTCTATGAGTCTCTATGTATCTCGATGAGTCTCTATGTGTCTCCAATGGGTCTCTGTGTATCTCTAGGGGTCTCTATGAGTCTCTATGTATCTCAATGAGTCTCTATGTGTCTCCAATGGGTCTCTGTGTATCTCTAGGGGTCTCTGTGTCTCTATGTGTCTCTCTGTATCTCGATGAGTCTCTATGTGTCTCCATGAGTCTCTGTGTATCTCTAGAGGTCTCTGTGTCTCTATGTGTCTCTGTGTATCTCGATGAGTCTCTATGTGTCTCCATGAGTCTCTGTGTATCTCTAGGGGTCGCTGTGTCTCTATGAGTCTCTATGTATCTCGATGAGTCTCTATATGTCTCCATGAGTCTCTGTGTATCTCTAGGGTCTCTGTGTCTCTATGTGTCTCTGTGTATCTCGATGTGTCTCTATGTGTCTCCATGAGTCTCTGTGTATCTCTAGGGGTCTCTGTGTCTCTATGAGTCTCTGTGTATCTCGATGTGTTTCTATGTGTCTCCATGAGTCTCTGTGTATCTCTAGGGGTCTCTGTGTCTCTATGAGTCTCTATGTATTTCGATGAGTCTCTATATGTCTCCATGGGTCTCTGTATATCTCTAGGTGTCTCTGTGTCTCTATGCATCTCGATGAGTCTCTATGTGTCTCCATTGGTGTCTGTGTATCTCTAGGGGTCTCTGTGTCTCTATGAGTCTCTATGTATCTCGATGAGTCTCTATATGTCTCCATGAGTCTCTGTGTATCTCTAGGGGTCTCTGTGTCTCTATGAGTCTCTGTGTATCTCGATGAGTCTCTATTTGTCTCCATGAGTCTCTGTGTATCTCTAGGGGTTTCTGTGTCTCTATGAGTCTCCATGCATCTCGATGAGTCTCTATATGTCTCCATGGGTCTCTGTGTATCTCTAGGGGTCTCTGTGTCTCTATGAGTCTTTGTGTATCTCGATGAGTCTCTATGTGTCTCCATGAGTCCCTGTGTATCTCTAGGGGTCTCTGTGTCTCTATGAGTCTCTATGTATCTCGATGAGTCTCTATGTGTCTCCATGAGTCTCTGTGTATCTCTAGGGGTCTCTGTGTCTCTATGAGTCTCTATGTATCTCAATGAGTTTCTATGTGTCTCCAATGGGTCTCTGTGTATCTCTAGGGGTCTCTGTGTCTCTATGAGTCTCTATATATCTCGATGAGTCTCTGTGTGTCTCCATGAGTCTCTGTGTATCTCTAGGGGTCTCTGTGTCTCTATGAGTCTCTATGTATCTCGATGAGTCTCTATGTGTCTCCAATGGGTCTCTGTGTATCTCTAGGGGTCTCTATGAGTCTCTATGTATCTCAATGAGTCTCTATGTGTCTCCAATGGGTCTCTGTGTATCTCTAGGGGTCTCTGTGTCTCTATGAGTCTCTATGTATCTCGATGAGTCTCTATGTGTCTCCATGAGTCTCTGTGTATCTCTCGGGGTCTCTGTGTCTCTATGAGTCGCTATGTATCTCGATGAGTCTCTATGTGTCTCCAATGGGTCTCTGTGTATCTGTAGGGGAATAACTCACGAACTCCATTCACGGGAAGGCGCCCGAGTCTGGACTCGAACCGAGGCGCTTCTTGCTGTGAACCACCACAAACGTATTATCTCTCCAGCGTCGTGTGTGTGTGTGTGTGTTACAGGGGGGGATAGCCACGGAGATGTGGGACCTGCGTTCTTGGAGGAGCCCCAAGATGTCGTTTACTCCGTGGGGTCTAAGACAGACAGAGTGTCATTCCGGTGTCTTGCAAGTGGATCACCACCTCTCACTCACCGGTAAGTGACACCTTCCATCATTATCATCAGCAAGCATCACCATCAGCATCAATATCATCACCATAAGCATCTTCACCATCATCAGCAGCATCTTCACCATCAGCATCAATATCATCAGCATCTTCACCACCGTCATCATCATCATCAGCATCTTCACCATCAGCATCATCATCATCTTCACCATCAGCATCAATATCATCATCATCATCATCATCAGCATCTTCACCATCATCATCAGAATCTTCACCATCAGCATCAATATCATCACCATCAGCATCTTTGCCATCAGCATCAATATCATCAGCATCTTCATCATCATCAGCATCTTCGCCATCAGCATCTTCACCATCATCATCACCATCAGCATCAATATCATCATCAGCATCTTCACCATCAGCATCAATATCATCACCATCAGCATCCTTGCCATCAGCATCTTCACCAACATCAGCATCTTCGGCATCTTCACCATCAGCATCATCAGCAGCATCATCACCATCAGCATCCATAAAATAAATTGTGGGTTACATTGCATAAATGTGAATGTGTCTTGAAACCAGGCACCACCAGCCGACACAGCCAATGATGAATGTTTGTCACGTAAACAAAACGTGCCTACTAGTTACTATTTCAGCACTAACCAGTGTCGCTGGTGATCACAACAACAACAACAACCAACTTCATCAGGCGATTAGCCCGATTTGAAGTGGTAACTAATTCGCACGTTTTGTTTACGCGACAAACCTTACGAATTGGCCAGCACCACTCCCGACGGCCTTTGCCCCCCCCCCCCCCCAATACCCAAAACACGCCGCGATTATCCACTCACATGCGCGCACACAAAGACACACACACACACGTGTCAACAAGGACAAACACACCGCCTGTACAGCCTGTAACGGACTGTCAGGGCAAGTGCTGTTCGCGAGCACCTATCAAGGCTGGAACGGCACACGAAGCGGGGTGGGTGGCCAGCACCACGCCCGGCCGTCTTTGTCTTCCCAGCGAGTTGAGCGCCCCCACAACCCCCGTTGCGGTTAGCTCATGAAAAAAAAAAAACACACACGCACACACACTCTCAAAATTAGCATTCGCCGCTCAGTCACCCGTTGCACGCGAGGAAGCTATCGCATTTAGGCAGCATTCGAAATGATCCGTGCCGCTGTTCCCGGCCACTCCGTGGACTGCACCGGTCGCCTGCTGCCACGCGCCGTTTGCTTAAGTGGCAGCGCTTCAAAATAAATGAATGCAAACGCACAACAAGCGCGCGCGCGCGCGCGCGTAAATACCAACAACAACAACAGCAGCAGCAGCAGCAGACAAAGATCACCCGTGTAGCCTCGGCCACACTGGTAAGGCAAGTGCCATTCGCGAGCAGCGCCTATGAAGGCTACCGGCACTGTGGCACACGAGGGGGTGGGTGGCCAACCAAACCACGCCGGGCCGCCTTTGTCTCCCCCAGTGGCGATGTTTACTACACAACCGCACCAGGAACTCAGTTGAGGCTGAGTCGACCTCGGAGAGGCCCAGGACCGGTTCGGGTAATAATCGTCACCGGTGCTGGCCGTGAATGGGAATCGAACCCGGGTGGCCGGGCTGGTAGCGCAGGGTAGCGCGCTAACCGCTGCACCACCGCTCTGCACACACACGCACAAGATAAAGACGCATATCCCCCCGTATAGCTTCCAACAGACTGTTGGGGCAAGTGCTGCTTGTAGCGCCGATGAAGGCCGGCACGGCACACGAGGGGGTGGGTGGGTGGGTGACCGAGCACCACGCCCGGCTGCCTTTGTCTCCCCAATGCTTATTGATGTTTTTACCGCACCCGGCATTCGAGGGAATCATCGTCACAGACGCAGAGCAGCTGTGCGACGCCGCTGCTGCTGCTGTGGTTTCGCCTAGGGCACGGGTCGCCATCCAAATGAACAACACGTGGAATTTTATGTTAGAATTTGTTAACCCCCCACCCCCGCCCCCCTCTCATTATTTCAAGAGTCGCGATGCAATCGTTAAAGAGCCGCGCGTGGCTCAGGAGTCCCAGGTTGCCGATCCTCGGCTCTGTCCCATAGGAGCAGATGTAGTCGACATTGTCACGGTTACATGGAACAGATGGAGATTAGTCCACCCACGGGTAGGACGGGAGTGAGATGGAACAGATGCAGATTAGTCCACACACGGGTAGGAAGGGAGTGAGTGTGGAACAGATGGAGATTAGTCCACCCACGGGGTGGAAGTGAGTGAGATGGAACAGATGGAGATTAGTCCACCCACGGGTAGGAAGGGAGTGAGATGTAACAGATAGAGATTAGTCCACCCACGGGTAGGAAGGGAGTGAGATGGAACAGATGCAGATTAGTCCACCCACGGGTAGGAAGGGAGTGAGTGTGGAACAGATGGAGATTAGTCCACCCACGGGTAGGAAGGGAGTGAGATGGAACAGATGGAGATTAGTCCACCCACAGGTAGGAAGGGAGTGAGATGGAACAGATGGAGATTAGTCCACCCACGGGTAGGAAGGGAGTGAGATGGAACAGATGGAGATTAGTCCACCCACGGGTAGGAATGGAGTGAGATGGAACAGATGGAGATTAGTCCACCCACGGGTAGGAAGGGATGAGATGGAACAGATGGAGATTAGTCCACCCACGGGTAGGAAGGGAGTGGGATGGAACAGATGCAGATTAGTACACCCACGGGTAGGAAGGGAGTGAGATGTAACAGATGCAAATTAGTCCACACACGGGTAGGAAGGGAGTGAGATAGAACAGATGGAGATTAGTCCACCCACGGGTAGGAAGAAAGTGAGATGTAACAGATGCAGATTAGTCCACACACTTCGCTGTACCACCTTCTCCCTAACAGAGCTGTATACAGGGTGCTTTAGAAAAATGTTAACACTTAGTATGTGACTATCGTTTTTATGGAGAAATAAACGGATAGTAATAACACTGTCACGTGATGACAAATGTCACTTTGATTTAAAGCTTTCGTGACTGCAGGGATTCATATTCTTGGTTCTTTCGGTAAAGTCACCACCGCGTAGAAGGGAAACAATAAAATAATACAAATATAAAACAATACAATTCTCACGACGTTTCGACTGCAACACAAGCAATCATCATCAGGTGTGAAAACCACAGCAATCAAATTTGAATTTTTTTTTTCAAATTAAAGGCTATACAAGGGGATCTTTGTCTCCGTTGTGTGTGTGTTGCGGGGAGCGTTAGCGTCGTGCTACGAACCTGGCGACTCGAGTTCGATTCCCGCTCACGGCCACCACCGGTGACGATTATCTGAACCGGTGCTGGGACTCTCCCCTAGGTCGACTCAGCCTCAAATAAGTACCCGGTGCGATGTGTAAGGATCGCCACTGGGGAGACAAAGGCGGCCGGGCGTGGTGCTGGCCACCCACCCCCTCGTGTGCCGTTTCCGGCTTTCATCGGGGCCGCTCTTTAACAGCACTTGCCCCCCAACAGTCTGGTGAGGCTATACGGGGGAGCTTTGTCTTTGTGTGGAGCGGTAGGCGCAGGGGTTAGAGGCACACCCGAGTCCAATTCTCCGCCCCTTTCCCCCAGCGCTCCCCCACTAGCCCCTCCCGCTCACCCCTCTTCATAGCCCCGCCCCGAGAGGCCTGTGCAGTTGCACCGCCTGCACACCGGACAGCCACGCCGCTGATTGCGCCATCACAGCTACTACTACTGCTACTACTACACGTGTAGTAGCAGTAGTAGTAGCTACTACACGTGCAGTAGTAGCAGTTACTACGCGTGTAGTAGCTCCTACTACAATCTGAGTACGACGTTTCGCCATGAATTACAACTCGCTTCATCAGGCGTGTCGGGTCCGTGGCTGGTTTAGCGACACATTTATATATTTACGCGATCCAACCCAACACAAATCTGTATTATGGATGATATTGGTCGCGAAAGTCTCCTACGTGTTAGACTGAGAACCAGGGATAGGTGACCCGAAGTCTGCTGCGATGATGATCACTCAATGAATGAACTCCATGTGCGATGTAATGTTACAATTTGGCAAATCAGGGCCCACACGCGAATACGTAACGGGGGGAGTTTGGGGACCTTCAACGTCCATCCGAGCGAAGTGAACGGCGCTGGTGAGATGTTAACTACCTCGCCTGGTATGCAGGAGGTCGTGGGTTCGATCCCGACCCTGACGCCTGTTGCTGTGTATTTGGAGATTGCGGTGTTTCCCTCTCTCCCTGTGGTGAGATGGTGGCGGTGGCGGTGGTGGTCGTGGTGGCGGTGGTGGTGGTGGCGGTGGTGGTGGTGGCGGTGGTGGTGGTGGCGGTGGTGGTGGTGGCGGTGGTGGTGGTGGCGGTGGCGGTGGTGGTGGTGGTGGTGGTGGCGGTGGCGGTGGTGGCGGTGGTGGTGGGGGTAGTGGTGGTGGTGGTGGTGGCGGTGGGGGTAGTGGTGGTGGTGGTGGTGGCGGTGGGGGTAGTGGTGGTGGTGGCGGTGGTGGTGGTGGTGGTGGCGGTGGTGGCGGCGGCGGTGGGGGTAGTGGTGGTGGCGGTGGGGGTAGTGGTGGCGGTGGTGGTGGTGGCGGTGGTGGTGGTGGTGGTGGTGGTGGCGGTGGTGGTGGTGGCGGTGGTGGCGGCGGCGGTGGTGGTGGTGGTGGGGGCAGTGGTGGTGGTGGCGGTGGTGGCATTGACGGCGGCGGTGGTGGTGGCGGCGTTAGCGGCGGTGGTGGTGGTGGCGGTGGTGGTGGGGGTGGCATTGACGGCGGCGGTGGTGGTGGCGGTGGTCAATCATTGTTGACGCATGCGGCCCTGCTCCTATTTAAAAGTTGTTAAAGTTTCAACGGCAACCGTCCTGAAAAAATAAATAAAACAATGAATAGAAAGTTATCTTGCAAAACAGATTCTAGCACGGCCTCAATGATTATTATTCTGCTTTGTCCCTTCGCGTCGACTGAAAAATAGCCGTGGCGGTGTCGGCGAACAAAAAATATAATAAATAATGATGATAAAGGCGCAGGCCCTGCAAGTGACAGGTAGCAGGCGGCACAGCAAATTGTGTGGACTAATCTCCATCTGTTCCACACTCCTTTTCCTTTCTTCGTTCGTTCCCCCCCCCTCCGCGGCCATCTCCACTTTGAGAATCATCGCGCGCTGAGATGATTTGTCTGCTGCCATACATGATCGCTACGTGTGGCGGTGCTGCTGGTGATGGTGATGATAATAATGTCAGCCACTGCTGCAATGATGAGCTCTCAGAATCTTAATTTGTGCTGGAGAAAATCCGAACAGCTATGAAGCTCTTTTCTCACAGATGTCCAGAAGAGGCACGGCGTCAGAACGCTACAACAACAAACAGCTACATAAACACGATAGGATTGAAAAGTATAGGAAAATCACTCAAATATATCTGAGTCTATGGGCAGTGTTGAGTCTGTGGGCAGTGTTGAGTCTATGGGCAGTGTTGAGTCTATGGGCAGTGTTGAGTCTGTGGGCAGTGTTGAGTCTATGGGCAGTGTTGAGTCTATGGGTAGTGTTGAGTCTATGGGCAGTGTTGAGTCTATGGGCAGTGTTGAGTCTATGGGCAGTGTTGAGCCTATGGGCAGTGTTGAGTCTATGGGCAGTGTTGAGTCTATGGACAGTGTTGAGTCTATGGGTAGTGTTGAGTCTATGGGCAGTGTTGAGTCTATGGGCAGTGTTGAGTCTATGGGCAGTGTTGAGTCTATGGGTAGTGTTGAGTCTATGGGTAGTGTTGAGTCTATGGGCAGTGTTGAGTTTACGGGCAGTGTTGAGTCTATGGGCAGTGTTGAGTCTATGGGTAGTGTTGAGTCTATAGGCAGTGTTGAGTCTATGGGCAGTGTTGAGTCTATGGGCAGTGTTTAGTCTATGGGCAGCGTTTAGTCTATGGGCAGTGTTGAGTCTATGGGCAGTGTTCAGTCTATGGGCAGTGTTCAGTCTATGGGCAGTGTTGAGTCTATG